GTTTTAGGTTGAAATGTCACAGATGTGATGCGAAGCTTTCATAATATGTAAGCCCAATTCATCTCCAGCCAGAAGGAGGATCAATAGAGCAGGATCAATAGAGTCTTAGAATTAATAGGGACCCCTATCCTGTACTAGTAAGACATACTGGCGCTAGCAGCACTCACTGACATAAAACAATTCTCCACTTTTCCTATATGACTGAAAGATCACCATGAAGTCCCTGTCCTTCACATAAGTCTCTGTTCTGTCATTGATCCTGGATTCCCTGAGGAGGTGTCACGGACAAATAAGAAAGAGTTTATCTGGATCTTTAAAGGGAATCATAAATACACAGATTCAACAATTGTATACCAAGCGACCATCCGTTTCAATTGAGAGGCGGCGTGTTCACAGAGTTTACCACTTGTTTTCCAATCCTCAAGGTCACGTCCTGTCCGTGCCAGCTCATTAGACGCGGGTGGAATGAGGTTTTGAGAGGACGAGTGGGAATTATAAAGGTCGGGGGAGGGTTCATTTCTGTGTCGGCCTCTGTTTTGTCACTCGGTCACTACCCGCAGGGAAGTTGACATTTTAATAAAATGTTCAAAAGGACCATTTCCACACCGGGCGCGAGATATGCTAAGCTGTTCTTACTCGTCTCAATCATCAGCATTAAAGTGAGATTCTTCAAAAGGGCAAACATGTTTCTGTGTTCTGGCAGGTCAGCTGTTATTTGATTCATTTTTGTTAGAATTGACATTTTAATCAGAAACACATTATCAGGCTGCAAGTGACCGGGTGCAGACAACAGTGTCTTTGTAGATGGCTTAAACGTTGAAATATCAAAAGTTAGTATGGGTTCTGTTAACAAGAAGATCTACAGACTTTGTCCGTATCACTTTCAAAACTCTTAAATGTTCCATAAATCAAGAAAGCAGTTTAATTAGTTTCCGTCTTTAAAACTAGAATCCGTGGGATCTAACACAAAACCCAAATCCCAGGGATCTAAGAGGACACATCTATACACGCATCCACATTACCATATGAATGATCCACAAAAATTCACTCGGGCACACCGATCAGGCAGTGATATTTATACAGTACAAGGGCTTCCTTCTCCGCAGAATAAGTAACTAACTGAGGCTCCATCTTCCCTCATGAGTCGACGCAGCGGAAGATTTTAACTTCAGACAGCATGCAAGCGCGGTCGCACACGGTCACACGCGGTCACACACCACACATGCGAATGCACTGGCTCGCTCGCACGCATGCGTGGATGTACACACTACAGAACTACAGAGGGAAAAAAAAAACACCTCCGGCAGTCCAAAGGGGGAGCCGGTAATGAGAGAGGAAGAAGAGGGACAGAAGTTTTAAGTGCGTGTAGCGAGCAAACTTGGTTCTCATTTCTGGGGCTGCAAAGCCCACATGAGGAAAACGTCTGTGTCACTTACAGTGAAGCTCTGAAGGATATATCAACTCACTGGTGTTTGAAGCTGGGGATGCACGCAGGCCTACGAGCTATGAATGAGAGCATGTGCATGTGTTCACGTCTAATAGTGATATAGTTAAATGGAAAGAATCCCAGCATTACATGGACAACAATTTGTGTAGGGTGTGTGTGTGTGTGTGTGTGTGTGCCTGTGTGATCTTGTTTGTGCATGATTTGCGCATTTGATTTACAGTGCACACTTGAGAGCGCAAGTGGGTGATCTGAGGGCATGATTTGATCAAAGGCCCTTTGATCGTGCACAAACTTGGTCCAGCACAAAATACTGTATATGACTTTTCTTTCGTGGCAAGACAAGCACGCGGGCATGCGCACTAAAGCAGAGGGATAATGGGAGAGCAATAAGACTAGGGAGGGGGCCGTGTAATGGCAGATAAATTTAATCCCATGACAGCTCCCGAATAGAGTGCCGAAAAAAAAATCAGTCAATGCAAATGGAGGCTCAAATGGCCACAATCAAAAGTTAAATGACTGGCAGAGTGATGCAGCCAATATATCTTTCTTTTTGTCTCAGTCAGTCTTTTCAATCTCTTCCAGTCCAGTAGGTCTGAAAATTGCACCCATCTCATAGACGAATCATTATATGAACCATAGATGTTAAGTCTCAAGGTGCTGGTCTCGACGACCATTGTTTCATGCTGACAACTTTGTTGGTTTGTTTCATCGTGTTGCCTTTTTCTTCCCCTGTGGTGGGAATACATGTTCATCCTCAGTTTACGTGCAGTATCCAAATAGGTGCAATGTTTTCACTGTGACACCTTTTCAACAATATATATTTGTTCATTTTCTCCCAGCGTATATTGCCCCCACACACATTTCACGCTTTCTCCCTCTGCCTCTCGTATTCTTTCTTTCCTGCAAACACGAAAGGTTCAGTGAAAAACTAATAAAAACTGTGCCAAATGCACAGAAACTGCGAGTCCACTGCTCCTCTACCTGATGTCTGTTGTCAGTGTGCAGCATCAGTACCTGAGACCTCCTTATGACCTACAGATTGAGCTGCCAGCAGATAGCAGAGGCCAGTGGAAGCAGAGGGAGACTGAGAGGCAAGTGTGAATGTGTGGTGCTCGTGGTTCAGCATGCTTTTAATGTGTGTTAAGAGTCAGCACCGGGGGACAAGCACAGCGGCTTTCATCTGGAAAAGTGAGCGCAGCAGCGCAAGCGTGGCAGGTCAAGGATCCATGAGGGAACGAGACCACAACCGAAAAAAAAAAAAAAAGGTTTCGTCAACATTCTGTACACACAACAATGCACACAAACACTAAATGCACGCACTTTCACTCACATTCTTCTGTGATACATTATGCATGAAAACCATGCATTCTTCATTCACTCAGCCGTGATGAATATTCCATGAGGGGATAAAAAGGCTGTTTGCACTTCTACTCCACCTCCATGATGTAATTCACCGACACCAAATAAACACAAGGACTAGCAGCATGCCTGTACGTAAGGGGTCCGTGAAGGTTGGTTCCCTCCTCACTTGGACTCGGACCATCGGCGTGCAAACCTGCGGGTCAAGTACACGATAAAGTGCCAAAACAAGGCCGATTGCATCGGCCGATGTACATTTGCCTAAATGTGCAGAATTTGATCTTATCCGCCGTTTGCACCTTGGAAAAAAGGCACTCCAAACAATTCAAATGGTTAGTGTAAGAGCTGTGGTGCAAGGCTGATAGGCCATTTGGGGATTTGTTGAGGCATGGTGATTCATACAAATGACTAGCAGATTTTTCCCCACTGTATCAAAGCACCTTGATCCTTCCTTTCTTTACCTTCATTGAAAAAAATTACCTTCATGGCTTTGTACTTTTTTGTACACCATACAACGATTTTGCCCCAATATTCAGACGAATATCTTAAGGCTAACAGCGCTGACAGCAGTAGTGGCGCAGAGGATGCCAACAGAGCCTTTAGTTGAGGGGGAACCCGAGGGATGAGCGCTATGCTGCTGCTACGATACCGTCAGTCAGGACGGCGTTATCTGCAACAATCAATAATGAGATAGGAGAGCAGTGTACAAAAAACACGCCCAAATATGTCAACAATGGAAGAAGAAGCTCTGAGAGCAAGTTCCTTATCGGCATGGCTATGTCACTGTGTCTTTACAAAGCATTTAGTTGTTTGCAGCTTTATTAACATTTAAGATGTTAAACACAGCCCCTTTAACTTTCCTGTCCTCTCCTCTTCGTCCCGGATTCCTCAAAATCAGCCTGACCTTAAAAAAAAAGACATGTGGCTGGTGGAAACATGCAGGGATTAACAAAATAGAAACTTTATCGTGCACTGGTTGATACGCAGGCAACTAACTGGTCAAAAATGCCACATGAGTGCATGTCAGACATTATTCTAGCAGCTTATTTCTGGTTTTGTTCAATGTGAAGGTCATCTGGCCTCCAACAGATTGGAAGCTTCAGTAATTACGCTGGAATTTGCCCACTTCATTCAACTCAACTACAGTCTAAAAAGATGCCAACGTTGATTTACTTTGGTTAAACTGTTTCTCACATCCTTCACGAACAACCTTTCTGAATAAATATAATCTTCTTGATACCCACAAACACCTCTCAACTCACAAAAGACACATTCACACTTTTTTTGCCATCCAAAAAGGTTTGCTAATCAAGATAGCTACATAACGTGCCCTTTTCTGCTACTTGCCCAACCACAGTACGCCTGACAAACAAGTGTCTGCTCTCAGAGGTGTGTAAGTTTCACCAAGATGAGGATGAGGGAAGTGTGAATACAGACGGTTACAGTGAGAGAGAAAGAGACAAACAGCGGCTCATGATTTGTTTCCAAAGTGAGGTGTTGACTCAGACTTTGTGTAAAAACTAATGGAAAGTGTCAGCACACACACCTTAGAGAAAAGATACAGCGCAATAAAAAAGCAAGGAGCTCCAAGGGCCGATTACACGCATCAGAGTATGTAACCATTCCCTCTCCCATTGATCCTCCATCGCGGACTTAACACAAGGTATTGATTACAAATTGACACTTGTCCTGTCTGAGATGTGCATATCCACCTCTTATCAATACAGGTCAAGAGGCCACTATCATTCAAATTATGTTTCAGTCAATAGAACAAGGACCACTTCGTTCCATTTACCTTCCTCCTTTGTCTTCAGAAGTTATACACAGAGCAAGACTGTGTCTGCGTACTGTGGCAAACCAGGGGGAGGAACAAAGCACTTGGGGCGGAGCCCCAAGCTCCGGTTGGGGGAGGTGATAAGGGGGATTTATTATCCTGTGCAGGTGCTCCAGCCACTGGGAACGTGGCACTGGTCACACCTGCGGCCTATCTGGTAATCAGAGCAGACCCTAGATAAGGAGAGGAGAAGAGACCGGACGGGGGCAGACGTCGGAGAGGAGGTAACCCCCAGGACTCACCGCTCTACTCTACTCTGCTCCTAACAGGACAAGGAAGCGGGCGCCACGTAGGAGGAGACGCCACATATTTCAGTTTGGAAGCCGGTTGGAAGAGCCGTAGTTTTTGACCTTTGTTATTAAAAGGACCCTTTTTGTTTGCATTTGCTGTCTGAGTTTCTTATTTTACGCCCGAATCTGGCCTCACTCCCCCTGGGTTACCACATTTTGGTGGAGAATGCGGGCGTGACGGTCTGTCGCTAAAGATTCAGGCTAAAATAGGTACTCCGAGAGAGACACGGAGAACCATGGAGAATGCACTGACACAGCTCATCCAGACCCAAACCCAGCAGGCCCAGAGTCTTCAAGCCTTACAGGACGCCATCACTACTCTTGGACAGCATCTGGTAAAGCCAGAGAGGCCTACGGAACCCAGTAAAGTTCTCACCAAGCAGACCGGTGAGGATGACATTGAGGCCTACCTAGAGGTTTTTGAAAGGACTGCAGAGAGGGAACGTTGGCCTAGAGCACAATGGGCAGGAATTCTAGCCCCTTTTTTAATTGGCGAAGCTCAAAAAGCCTGCCGGGACCTTTCCCCCGCTGACGTAAACCAGTATGGGGCATTGAAAGCTGCGATTTTGGCCCATTATGGACACAACCTGCAGACGAGGGCCCAACAGTTCCACGCCTGGGAGTATGACGCTACTGCCCCAGTGCGGCTGCAAATTGCAACGCTGATGCGATTGACACGCAGTTGGTTAACCTCGGGGGAGGGGCCTCCAGCGATTGACAGAGTTGCCATGGATCGCTGTATCAGAGCCTTACCCGGGGGTGCCAAACGACACGCTTCTCAAAGCTGCCCAGAGACAGTAGATGCCCTAGTGACGCTGTTGGAGAATCACCAGGTCACGGTACAGTTGATGCAAAGCAGTAGGCCACCCAGCCAATCGGACCCCAGGAGAGACAGGCTGAGGAAGAGCGACACGGAGGCACTGGGCCCAAGCCCGAGGCCCCAAGGGGGTCCGCCCCAGCCATCCCTCCAGCGCCGCCCCTTTGTGAATCCGGACCGGCGAAAATGCTTTGCCTGTGGACAAGAGGGCCATATAGCGTGGAATTGTCCGGGAGAAGACATTCTGATGCCTACGGCGGGCTCCTCCGACTCCCCACGGAAGGCCGACAGCTATCTTACCACGTGCTGGGCTCATGAGGGCGCAAGGGCCCCAAAGCTGCCGGTCAGAATAGGGACCCAGGATGCTGAAGCCCTACTCGACTCCGGCAGTGCGGTCACCCTCCTACGGCCCGGGTTGACCTCTGGCCCCAGGGGACCCCCTATCCCAGTCTCCTGTGTCCACGGGGATTCACGAGAGTATCCCACGACCCACATTAAGGTCCAGACCACCAGGGGCACATTTGAGGTTGTTGCGGGCTTAGTGGAAAATCTGCCGGTACCAGTGCTGATTGGGCGGGACTGCCCGATATTCTGGCGTTTGTGGGCATGCAGGACTGCTGGCCACCGAAGAAACTGTCCCACCAAGAAACCTGGTAGGGACCAGAAAGTCAAGGTGGCACATGCCTGTGCAGCCCCATCTAGCCCAACCACGTCATCTGCAGAAGGGACAGAGGAGGAGGCCCTGGCCCCAGCGGAGGCCCCGGCCCCAGCGGAGGCCCCGGCCCCAGCGGAGGCCCCGACAAGGAGGGATCCCCGACTAACTGAAGGGTCTTCGAACGAGGCTTTTTCGGAGTTCCCACTGGCAGAAGAGGCATCTTCCACCAGGCCCGGGCAGTTTGGGACGGCCCAGTGGGAGGACCCTAACCTGGAACAAGCGCGACAGAACCTGGCTGTGGTCGAGGGAGAACCGGTGGCGGGGGTAAGTGCTAGCACCTTTCCACACTTTTCAATCAAGAATGGCCTCTTGTATAGGGTGGCAAAGCTGGAGGAACGGGTGGTGGAACAGTTGCTAGTCCCCAAGCGCTATATTAACAAAGTGTTGTACCTAGCCCACTCCCACCTGTTGGGAGCTCATTTGGGGGTGGAGAAAACCTACGACCGAGTCCGGGAGCGCTTCTACTGGCCGGGGGTGAAGAAGGCGGTCCAGGATTATTGCCAAATCTGCCCACAATGCCAGAAGACGGCGCCGAAGGTAAACTACCAGAATCCACTAATACCACTACCAATAATCGACATCCCATTCCAGAGGGTGGCCATGGATATAGTAGGCCCCTTGCCGAAGTCCAGTAGGGGGCACCGGTTTATCCTGGTTATCATGGATTATGCCACCCGGTACCCAGAGGCGGTCCCGTTACGCACCGCAAGTGCTAAAGCGGTGGCGAGAGAATTATTCCTTCTCTTTAGTAGAGTTGGGATTGCAAAGGAAGTCCTTACTGACCAGGGAACCTGTTTCATGTCTCGGGTGATGAAGGAGATGTGTAAACTGCTGAAGGTGAGCCAAATACGAACCTCTGTCTACCACCCACAGACGGACGGCCTGGTAGAACGTTTCAATAAAACCTTAAAACAAATGCTAAGGAAGGCTATTGACGTGGAGGGGAAAAACTGGGACCAACTAATCCCCTTTGTCTTGTTCTCAATCCGCGAAGTGCCCCAGGCGTCCACAGGGTTCTCACCATTTGAGCTGCTGTATGGACGGAGACCCAGGGGCATGCTGGACCTGGCCAAAGAAGCATGGGAGCAACAGCCATCAGCCCATCGCTCCGCCATAGAGTATGTCGACCAGATGCAGGACAGGATGGCTAAGGTATGGCCCCTGGTGCGGGAGCATATGCAACAAGCCCAACACGCCCAAGCCAGAATCTATAACCGTAGAGCTCAGCTACGGGAGTTCCAGCCGGGAGAGTTTGTCTTGGTCCTGATTCCAACGGTGGAATGCAAATTCCTGGCAAAGTGGCATGGACCCTATGAGGTGATCGAAAGGGTGGGGGAGGTGAATTATAAGGTAAGACAACCGGGAAGGAGGAAAATCTGCCAAATATATCACATTAATCTGTTGAAGAGATGGCACGCCCCTGACAGTGTTCCGATGGCCGCACTAACCACCGAAACCCAAGATCGTGTCCCCTCACAGGTACCTCTGGGCCCCCATCTGAGTCCGACCCACCGGCAAGACATGGTGGAACTAACTGGGCAGTTCAAAGATGTTTTTTCAGACATGCCGGGAAGGACCACGGTGATTAACCACGACATCATCACCGAACCTGGGAAAAAGGTGAGGCTCCGACCCTACCGCATACCAGAGGCAAAAAGGGAGACCATCAAAGAAGAGGTGAGAAGGATGTTGGAGATGGGCGTTATTGAGGAGTCACACAGTGCATGGTCCAGCCCGATTGTGTTGACTCCAAAACCCGACGGCAGCGAGAGATTCTGCAATGATTTTAGAAAATTGAACGAAATCTCAAAATTTGACGCTTACCCCATGCCGAGGGTTGATGAGTTAATAGAGCGATTAGGCCCAGCCCGGTTTGTGTCCACGCTCGACCTCACTAAAGGTTACTGGCAGGTTCCCCTCACAGAAACCGCCAAAGAGAAGACAGCGTTTGCTACCCCAGAAGGCCTGTACCACTATAGAGTCCTGCCCTTCGGAGTCCACCAGGTGCTCCGACCTCATCGGGAGTATGCAGCGGCCTACCTAGATGATGTGGTCATACACAGCCCCGACTGGACCACCCATGTAGGCCACCTGAAAGCTGTCCTGGGAAGCCTACGGAGAGCTGGCCTGACCGCCAACCCAAAAAAGTGCCACCTTGGCCTGGAGGAGGCGGAATACCTCGGCTACACCATTGGGAGAGGCAGTGTGAGACCCCAATCCCGGAAAGTGGAGGCCATTGCCACCTGGCCTAAGCCAGCCACGAAGCGGCAAGTAAAAACGTTCCTCGGCCTGGTCGGCTATTATCAGTGCTTTATACCCCACTTTGCTACTATTGCAGCCCCTTTACACGAGATGACGAAAAACAGCCACCCACACCAGGTCCTCTGGAGCACCGAAGCTGAGGCAGCCTTTACAACCCTTCGGAGGGCCCTGTGCACCGAGCCAATTTTAAGCACCCCTAATTTTGAGGACACGTTCATCGTCCATACAGATGCCTCTGGATCAGGGCTTGGAGCCGTGCTGTCCCAGGTCAGAGGAGGAGAAGAACACCCAGTGACCTATATCAGCCGTAAGTTGCTAAAGCATGAGATCAATTATTCAACGTTGGAGAAAGAATGTTTGGCAATAAAATGGGCCCTGACAAAGCTGCGGTATTACCTCCTGGGCAGAAAATTCACCCTGGTAACGGATCACGCACCACTGAGATGGATGTCTACAGCCAAAGACACTAATGCACGAGTTACACGGTGGTTCCTCGAACTGCAAAACTTTAATTTTTCTGTTGAGCACAGGTCGGGAAAAGCACATGGAAACGCAGACGCCTTGTCCAGGAGGGAAGAATGCTATCTCGTTGACGCTCCTAGCCCCAACCTGGAGCTGGTGGAGGGGGTGTGTGGCAAACCAGGGGGAGGAACAAAGAACTTGGGGCGGAGCCCCAAGCTCCGGTTGGGGGAGGTGATAAGGGGGATTTATTATCCTGTGCAGGTGCTCCAGCCACTGGGAACGTGGCACTGGTCACACCTGCGGCCTATCTGGTAATCAGAGCAGACCCTAGATAAGGAGAGGAGAAGAGACCGGACGGGAGCAGGCGTCGGAGAGGAGGTAACCCCCAGGACTCACCGCTCTACTCTACTCTGCTCCTAACAGGACAAGGAAGCGGGCGCCACGTAGGAGGAGACGCCACATATTTCAGTTTGGAAGCCGGTTGGAAGAGCCGTAGTTTTTGACCTTTGTTATTAAAAGGACCCTTTTTGTTTGCATTTGCTGTCTGAGTTTCTTATTTTACGCCCGAATCTGGCCTCACTCCCCCTGGGTTACCACAGTACGTGTTGAAGCATGAATAGACTTTCATGCTGGCACTTAAAGACGGCCTCAAACAGACGTTTCTCTTCAATTGATAACGGTGGAAAGAAGGGATGATCCCTTCTAGCAAGAAAAAATAAAAACATTTTCTAGACAGGTTGAGGGAAAAAAAATACTGTAACCAGTATCAGTATCAGTCCCACTTGAGATTTTAATCTGCAATGAAAGCCAAATGTTGTTCTACTTTGCAAATGATCAGATTTACTCAAAGCAACATTTTGATGAGTGATGACATGAGAAGGTCAATACCTCGGTCTGTGCGGTAAACATAAAGCTCCAGCTATCTTTGCTAAGCTTAGACCAAGGACACGAGGAAACAGCTAGCCTGGCTGTGTCAAGAGGTAAAAAAAACAAGCATATCCCAAACTGACATGTTAGCTTTTTACATCTTATTTGTTGAATCAAAACAACAATACGAGGGATTAACCGGATTAGGTGCCAGACTATGTGTATTGGCCAGGATCAGTAATTTACAGAAGTCTCCTGTCTTACTGAAGATATAAAATATTAACGGTTAAGCATTAAAATGTGCTGGTAGGCACATTCCGTTGCCTTTGCCATCTGTTTCCAGTCTTTGTGCTAAATTAAGCTAACGGGCTGCCGGCAGTAGCTTGGAGAGTTGCATCAATAGTCTTGCATAACTCTCAGCAAGGAAACAAATCAGCACTTTTTTTTCAGGAACGTCAAACTATTGCTTCAATCGTTCTACCTGGAAGGCGGTAAAGTGTTAGAAAGGGCATTTATACTTTGGACCCGGGCAATAAATCCGTTACATCTCGACGGATTTACACACGGCAACACCATAAACACTGCGTGTGCTCAGTGGCTGATTGCACCACAGAGTTTATTTGCATGGCCCACATAACGTGGATGAATGGGTGCACTGTCCTTCTGGAAGTCTCTCCCATCCTTTTGCAATCCAAGTAGATAAGTGAGTGCTAATCGAGTGTAACTCCAGAGTAGGGAGACAAAACAGATGGGAGAATGAAAAACCTTCAAAATATCCCGTACATGAAGGTGTGTATTTTCTCTGGTTGAAGCAGATATGAAAATTGTGGGGAAGGCCCTCTCCCGTCCTTCCTTCCATATCTTTCTATCATCACTCTATCGTCCTTTTTTGTATTCTGCCTCAAAATTTCGCAGATTTAAGTCCTCCGCCTCCAATTTGCCTCCTTTACCGGATTCCATCAGGCTTGGTTGTTCACATGCTCGCTCTTGCTCATCCGTGCCTTTTCTTTCAACCCCTGCTCTCATTTCTGTATGCAAGTCACCACAGCTGTGGTTGAAGCAGCACAACAGAACAAGCGAGGGAAAAAAAAAAGAAAGAAAAGTGACACAATGAATAGTAATTTATTGGAGGAGGAAAAGGAAGAAATAGCTTATTTCCATCGCTCTCTCCTTGTATTGCTCTCACCGCCCAGGAGGATTATACATAATGTATGCACACCCACAGAGGTGCCCTGACAAAAGGCCATAGACATACAGAGAAAGAAATGATGGATAGAGAGATACAGGCAGGGTGAGAAAAAAAAACAGTGAAACAAGAAGCCACAGGGTTCAGTTCACGCATATAGTTTGTGCAAAGTTAGTTTGGGTGCGGGAAAAGAAATCTCTGTTCTTATGCATAACTTATTACCTTCTTTTTATTGTTACATACATTTTATTCAAATTCAAACACTTTGGTCCAGAAAGTAACCATTTAGAGTTCAAAATCTCTTTTGATCTAATTTATCTAAACAGAGCCTATTTGGAGATCCCACTAGTGGGAGATCACTCACCTTTAAAGAGAACCCCCCCCATTGAAATGGAATGCACAAAAAGGAGAACGAGATCCTGACAAAACCCATTTGTCAGTTTTGAAGCAGACCATCATTCCAGTTGGATTTAACCATTTCTGCCAGCCTGTGGCCATTTCAACCAACTGCAAATTGATTGAAGAGTTCACTTGAAATCCTTTAGTGGTTCAAACAGGTGTATTAATACACTGTCTCGCTAATGAATATGCTCTTTGATCAGCTTCACACAAAAGGAAAAAAACAGATCTGTAGCCTCCACAGGGCTGAAAGTGTCAGTCTCCTTATTGGACAACACTGAGGTGATCAAAGATCCTGATTGTGTTCCTTTCAGGAGCAATCTATGGAGCAGAGAGATCATATTTGAGGTAGTGTCAGCATTTTGAATTCTGCATGACACTATTTTCTCTTCCATCCTTCCTGTCACAGTATGGTTTTCTGAGCTAAATAGTTATTTATAGTACAACAGTCACCTTGGATTCATTTTTAATAAATCTTTGATCTTTCATATGCACAATATATATTAGATTTTCTTTCAAATTATGCATCACGTATTCTCAAGGGGATTGCACATCCTCAGGGAAATAATGGAATCATACTTCAAAGTAGTTTAGGTGGCATATTCAGTATGTTGCTGTGGTTGTGTTTGTCTCATTAAAAGTTTTGATTGGTACAATAATTAATGGCCATATTTGGGTGACAGCAATGATCAGATCTCAGACCCTCCTTTCCCTCAATTTCTTGGTTTGCAGTTGTAAAAAGCATGATGCCTTTCTCAACAACGTATTGCTACATCACATTATTATTCACACAGTTTCTGAACAAGCTGCATTCTTCTTCTAAGCTACAATGACTGAGAACCCCCCTCCCCTCCAGGTTGCTACTCAAAGGTTGTCAGTAAGATTCAGAGACATCTAGAGAAGTTCACTGTCTTCATGTCAAGAGATCATGAAAGCGAGGTGAGAATACAAGATTGAACGGGTAAAATGTTGCCTAGACTTCTCACACAGGTGCACAGAGGCACTCATTCCTTAGTGATCACACCTGCGTCCCTATTACAAGCTCAGATATTGACTGTAGTGTGTGATATAGACCAC